TGATGCCCGCGACATGACCGCGGATGGCCACGCCAAGGGGAGCATCGACAGAGAAATGCTCCTAAAAGTCATGGGAGGTATACAGACCTTCAAACATGACCTGAAGAGACATACTCCTTATCGCGCTGGCCAGACATGAAGCTCTGACGCCGCCTCATGAGTGTGTCGCACATTTGCGAGGCAACTTGCTAGCGGGTCCATATTTCTTTGGGCCCGTCTCCTTTCCTGTCCTTGTATAGGTTAGCTGCTGAACTGTGCCTGCTGCATAGGGGCGTCGGGCTCACGCTTCGTCTCCCTCCCCCCCGATTCTAAAGTGAGCTGAGGGGCGTAAGGAGTGGAAGCGAGCGTGCGCCCGCGGTCGCGTTGGCTCAAGCGGCCGGCCGCCCAGATTTGATTGCGCCTCACTGCGAGGCACGCAGTCGCTATCGAGACCAAAAGGATCTTCCTATTGTTTGAGATGGCATCTCCTCTCATACTGGGACTATCGTTACTACGGTACAACAGAGCAGGAGCTTGGCTTCGCCTGAAGCGAAGCTGTTGGCTGGGCCTTCCAGCCCCCTTCAAACTCCCTGTGGCCGTCTTGGGGGCCTCCTGGGCCGGCTTTGGGGCCTCTTGGGCCGTCTCGGGGGGTTCGGTGAGCCCCACAGGCCGACTCTTTTGGGCCGTCTGGGGCCCCTCTGGGTCTCTCTTGGGCTGTCTTGGGGCTCCGCGGGGGCGTCTGGGGCATTGCGAAGACGAAGCCAGCGCGTATGCCGAACATGTCCGTTTTACGAAGGAAATGTGTAGATTTGTGCCTCTTGAAGGCCCTCTTGGGGCCCTCAGGGGCCCTCTTGGGGCTCTCTTGGGGCCCTCAGGGGACCAATTGGGGCCTCTTGTGGCCTCTTCGGAGGCTTCTTGAGACTGAGGGCTAGAATATTCGGCGAGGGGACCACGATCCTCGCGAGGTGTGCCAAAAAATGGCCCGGGGGGACCGCCATGGTGACCAGAGGCAGCAGCCGCCCCCCCCCCCCCGGCCTACTCCGATATATATATATATATACATACATATATACATATATATATATATATACATATATATTTATATATAGGTATATATATATATACACACGCATACACATACACATACACATGTGTACACACACACATATATATATATATTATATATATATATATATATATATATATATTCGAAGTCCGGGCCCCTGGGCCAAGGGGCAGCAACACTTTTTTAAAAGATCCATCCCCCAGGTACCCACTTTAACCCCAGGAATCTGGGCTTTGGAATATCAATTACATTACGCAATGTAGAGAACTCGAAGAGGCCTGCGGACTATCCACTCAGTGCCTGCGGCACTTAAGCTGATTTGACATGACTGGCGTCTGGTTTTCGTATCTTCGTCTCTTTTCCGGCCGTGGGACCCCCCAAGATCGCCCGACTGGTTTTCAATGTCGCCCCACGCGGACCAGGACGGCCGCAACAGGGTTCCAAGAAGGGGCCTGGACGGCCCCAGGGCGGCTCTGGGTGGCCCAGGAGGGCTTTTAAGACGCTCCATGAGGGCATCTCAGGCGACCAAGCGGGCCCCCTCGGTGCCCATTTTGGCTCAAGCCATTTGGCTGAAGAGACTTGGACCCAAGGCGCCCGCAAAACAGCCCGAGTTTGCCGAAGTATCCGGCCGAAATACCCGAAGAACAAGTACTGATTGCAGGTTTTGGTCGCGCTCAGTGTGTAATTGCCGATGGCGATGTCTGGTTTGCTGTCTCTAGTATATATACATATATATGTGTGTGTATATATATATATATATATATATATATATATATATATATATATATTCAGAGAGAGAGAGAGAGAGAGATAATGAGAGAGAGAGGAAAAAACAAACAACAAGCAAAGGAAGCACTAAGCAAACACACAAATACGCAAGATCGTGCACGCAAAACCTGGCCCCGGGGACCCCAGAATCTCCTCCCCCTCTGAGGGGCCGCCGGAGCACAGTCATTTCCCCACTCGTTATAGGGGCCTCTCCTGGCGCCTCCCTGGAGCTTCCCCCAGGCCCCCAGCAGAGGCTCTTGGAGCTTCAAGAGTCTCCAAGCGAGTCCAAACGGGTCAAGATGGCTTCTGGATGGCCCGAGATACCTTCCAGGCAGCACCACGACGACCCATGACGGCTTCAAGACGGCCCAAACGGCCCCCACTACAGCATAAGATGCCTCCTAGAAGTTTTCCAGGACGGGCACGCGAGTCGAAAATCGCTGATTCGGCTGAAGTGCTTCAAGGCTTTCAGCGTTTTGCCTTCTCGGGTTTCTGGTAGCTCATGACGGCCCAGGCGACCTTCAAGATGGCCCCACAATGGCCCGAAGTGCTCCCAATAGCGCTGAAAGGCAGATCAAGAGGGCCCCAAGATGGCCCCCAAAGACCGTAATATAGTCCAAGACAGCCCCCTAGATGGTCTCAAGACGGAAACACATGGCTTCAAAACGGCGCCAGACGGGCTCAAGACGGCACCAGGCGGCTTCAAGATGACGCAAGATGTCCCAAGATGGCACCACTGCGGTCCTGGTCGATTTCAAGGCGGGTCAAGAGGCCGCAAATGCGGACCCAGATGGCTCCAGGGGCTTCTCCTGGAGGGCACCAAACAGCAAAGACAGTTTTTTTGTTTTTTGTTCGGGCGGGGGGGTTGTGCGTTCTTCCATTTTCAGGCTCCTCGCAGCCTCAGCTCGAGGCTTTCCAACAGCCCAGAGGGCCAATCACAGACCAAAAGGCTCCCAGGAGACATTTTTTGTTATCCACCCAAGGGATAACGCATGTTACCCCCCCTCCCCCCCCCCGTAGCGGTAACGCCCAGGCCCCGATCCAGCGCGGCGCGATCCCGGGCAGCCTAGGGTCTGTTGTGCACGAGGGCGTGCACTATGGTGCACGCAGGCAGTGCGGTGTGCACGGACGTTCTGGCGCGTTCTGGCGCACGCATCTGTCGTTGGAGCAGCAGCCGTGGTGTACGCAGGCATAAAGGGTGTACGCAAGCATTGTGGTGTACAAATCACAAGCCCTGTGGTGTACACAGGCGCCGTGGTGCACACGATCGCTGTAGTGCGCAAGGTCGCTACGATGTAAGCGTGCGTTGTGGGCTATACGAGATCGTTTTTTTTAGGGTCCGGCGATAACCCGGGTTATCGGGCTCGCCCCACCTCCCCCTCCCAGGATAACCTAATTTAGCCGGTTGTGCAGGTCTGGGGGGGGATCGCAGGGAAATCGCAGGGAGCGCTGTGCTCAGCTGTACGTTGGTGTTCGCAACAGCACGCTGGTATTTGGATGCACGTCGAATCGTTGGGGCTTGGAGTGGCACGGGGAGACGACGACGACGACGACGATGACGACAACGACGACGACGACAGACGACGACAGACGACGACAGACGACGACAGACGACGACAGACGACGACAGACGACGACAGACGACGACAGACGACAGACGACGACAGACGACGACGAACGACACCGAATGACGACGACGACGACGAAGACGACCGACGTCGTCCATTGCGTTATGCACAGGCAGCGACGCGATGTGGTGCGCGCATTGGCTGTTGTTGCAGCAGGATCTGTTGTGTACGCAGGCGTTGTGGCGCACGTAAGCATAAGTGCACGCAGGTCGCGCGGTGCACGCGGGCATCGTGATGCACAAGGCAATATGGTGAAGACAGGCTCTGTGGTGTGCACGACTGTTCCTGCAACATCAGTCATCATTCACGCAGGCATCCCAGGCACGGTGGTGTACACACTGTGGTGCACGGTCATTGCGGTGTACCACACCTTGTGGTGTACACGGGCGCTGCGTTGTACACATCCATTGTTGTGCACACATTCGCTATGGTGTACACATGCGTCGGCCCAAAAGACGGGACCGTTCCCTGCGCAGGAAAAATTAATAATCGCAAATAGCTTACATGTTGGATTTGATACGTTCGGATTCCCTGCGAGTTTCTGGAGTTCGGTCCCGCCCGGGGCCCTGGAAGTGTACGCATTTCTGTGGTGTACACAAGCACTTTGGTGCACGAGTATGGTACTGAAGCAGCAAACGTGGTGCACGTAGGCGTCGTCGTGTACACAGGCATTGTGTGTGGTGTGTACACAGGCGCTGCGGTGCACATGGCTGCTGTAGTGTACACACGCATTGTGGTGTACACAGACATTGTTGTGTAGATAGGTGCTACGGTGTACACAAGCAGCTGTGGTGTACATAGGTGTCGTGGTGCACGCTAGACAGGCGCTGTAGTGTACAAAATCATGGTCGGCCAAAAACGGGGGGGGACCGCACCCCGGCCCAGAAAAATCAATACTCACAAATAACCTACATCGTGAATTTGATACATTCGGGCCAGGCCCCCGGGGGTTTTCCAGATTAGGGCCCTGGTGGGACCTTGGAAGTGCACGGAAGCGCTGTGGCGCAAATGTTCGCCAGGCGCTGTGGTGCACGCGGCTCCTGTGTTGTGCACAAGCACCGTAGTGTACACAGGCGCTGTGGTGCACGCAGAAGCCTCTGCTGCAGCAGCACCTGTGGTGTGCAAGACCGTTGTGGCGTATGCATGTTTTGTAGTACTGACAGGCAGTGTGGTGCACGCGTTTTCTATAAATAGTGTACACAAGACTTCGCGGCTACGCTTAGCAACCGCATCCCGCGTATTCCAAAGCGATCTGTCCAGGCATCCTTAGGCATTCTCAGACGGCGCCCGCATCGTCGCAGCACCAATCGTAGCATCGCCGCAGCATTGTTAGCAGCTGTAGGGGCCGCAGCACCAGTGCGCGCGGGCATATGCAGGGCTGCCCACAGCGCGAAGGTTAGGTTATCGGCCGGCTCCCCCTCCCCCCCTCCCCGGATATCCTGGGTTATCGCCGATTCAAAAAAAAGGTCTGTAATGGGCCAATTTCAGTCCTTGACGGTTTTCCTCGGGGAACGGGAGGCCGGGCTCCTTGGCTCTTTGCAGTCATCCTGGCTCAGGGGATGCAGTGGGCGCTTGACACGCTCACAGCATACTCAGGGGCCTTCGGCGTCGGCGCGGTGTTTGGCACGCACCTGTCCTCGACCCAGCCTTGCATCTGCCACTGCGATTTTGGGCCAGATCGCGGGCTCCTGGACGTGATCCAGGGGCAGCTGGACCGCTGCACGGCAGCTGGGCTGGCGCCTGCGCCCTCGCGGCCGAGCCCAGAGCTGGCCTGGTCGTCGGCGTGGTGCTGGCTGCTCGCGGGGCTGGGGCTCGGGATCATAGTCGGAGTTCTCCTCGGCGGCTTCTTCGCGCTGGCCATCGTGGGACGATTGGACTGGCAGGGAAGCTTCAAGAGGGCCATCGGCGACAGGCCCCCTGGCCAGACGCAGCCAGTCCCTCAAGGCATTGAAGTTCTCCAGTCCCAGCGTCGGCCAGAGGTAGTGACACCGTCTTCATCTCGCATCAATGGTTGAGACGTTGGACACAGACTTGATTCAGGTGTGCATCGATTTCCCAGATGACCCGAACATCCGATGGCACCACAGAGTTTTGTTGTATGAGTTGAGGCCAGGGCGGTGGGTAGCGAGTACACCAGACTTCGGCATCGAGGTTGTGGATCTTGCGAGCCACCGAGTTGTGCCTCTTAATCGTGCGACTCGATGGCCAGAGCGTGTTCGGGGCAATGTGTACGGGTTCGACCCACTCAGTGAGTAGCAGAAGGAGGATATCCACTTGAGGGGGCTGCAGCTCGCGAGGGTGTTGGGGTACAAAGTCACACCGAGCGCCACAGCGGGTGCCGTTAGACGGTGGAGAGTGTCGGGCCCTGGGCACAGCAAGTTCAACAGTGAGCTCGAGGACTCGGACATGCTGCCAGGGAACCGAGCCGTGGTCAGAGGTGACTGCGGGCTGTATCTCATCGACGAGGATGAGGAGGATTGGGTCAGTGTAGAACGGGTTCCCAATCGGCAGCTGCACGAGTGGTTGGAGAAGAAGAGGAGCGGGCCCGGCAGAGACCTGAGGATCCATCCGATCCAGCGGGATAGTGCCGGGCGCCGCAGCGCATTGTTGGAGGAGTCGGTCAACTTGTTCAAGGTCCCGAAGTTTGAAGACTGGCCGTTCGACGGACCGTCAGCGGCCGACGAGGTTCTGTCCGAGGTGGCGAAAGCTGGGCTCGAGCTGTACTTGTATCCGACGTGGTGGGAGAGCAAGAGCGGGGTGAACCCGCAGAGCAGTGTTGCGCGTGAGGTGCGGCTATGCTTCGACTACCTTCGGTGCTTTTAGTCGTATGACCAGCTGAACCTCCCCGCGCTGTCAGGCGTTGAGTTGATCTGTCGGCGGGTCATTGTGTGCCAGCGGGCGGTCAGGAGGAACCCGAAGAATCCAGACTTCTCGGGGTTCGAGCGTTTCCTGCAGGCGTCGTTCGACGACAGTGGGGGGCTGCGGACCTCGGAGTTCGACAAGTACATGGCCGAATCCCAGAAGACCGACGCTACGGTGCTGAAGCAGTCCAGGCTGCGGCAGGAGGAGCTCGAGGCGGACGAGAAGAGGCAGGCCGCCAAGCCAGGCGGCAAGTCGTCGTCGGGGTGATGACGCCCGCGCCGGCGTCGGCCGCTGGGCTGGCATCGCGGGGCCTTGGTGTTGCAGGCGCCGGCGCGCGGGAGTGTCCTCGCCCTCGCACTCGTGACCGCGAAGTTTTGTTCCGTGCGGAGGCGTTCCCTCTTCCTCGGCCCCCCGACGAGCGAGGTGATCGCGCGGCCCCGTGCCGCTTCCAGGTGGGCGCTGGGAGTCCTGACGAGCGGCGCTTCATGGTGACCAACGCTGTGAGTGCTCTCAACGGACTTGCTGGTGCCCGCGCTGAAAGGCCGCTGCAGTTGCGGCGGCCAGGGTATAAAGTCGGTGGCCCCTCTGATCCTCAGCGGTCAATATTTGGGCGAGTCGCTCAGGGGGTGGACGACGCGTTTCCCGCCCCAGACGACTTCGATGCAAAGAATTTTCTTTTTTTTTTTTTTCCTTAATGAAGTGCAAGGATATGTACAAAGTTGGCGACACCACTACTCGGGCGCCAATGGCGCTTGAGCGTTTGCAGGTCATGAAGGGCGACACCACTCCCAAGGATGCACTCAGCCTGGTGGAGAACGACGCGCAGGAGCTACTACGAGACCCTGGGTGCTTCATCGAGCGTCCACCAGACCATGATGATAGCCGAGGGGTTCCGCCACGTCCATATATGGATCCAGGGCTGAGGGGCAACTCACCCATGCTGCGAGAGCTGATCAGTCGTCTTCACTCGCGCGGGCTCGTCGTGCACCGCAGGCGGGCGAAGTCATTCGTAGGCCTCTTCACGGTTTTGAAGAAGGACGGCTGGTGGCAGCGGCTCATCATAGACTCCCGAGTGCCAAATTGTTTCATCGTCGGCCTCCTCACTCATATTTGGCCACGCCAGGGGCACTCACTGGGTTGGATGTGTCGGCCGACTCGTTGGGAGCAATGGCCGACGGCCTTCAGCTCTGCGGGTGCTCAGTGGACTTCCTGGACGGCTCCTACCAGCTGCGGTACCTCCCCCTCTCCGACTGGTTCGGTATCCCCGCCAAGATCACCGCGGGGGACGCGGGCGTTAGCGTTGTCTACGACAACGTTGACGGGCAGGACGTCTGGGAGCGAGTCGAGCCGGACGAGCGTATCTGGCCGTGCTTCTGCGGGGTGGCCACGGGCTGGTCGTGGGGCCTATATATCTGTCACTCAGCGCTGACCGATGGGCTGATCGTGGCGGTCGGGCGCATGATGGCTTGCAGCCGAGAGGTCGCAGGGCGCCAGCTCGCTCAAGACGGATTCCCGGCTCCGTGCCTCTCCAAGGGCAGGCCTGTCATCGCGCCCTACGTGGACAACGGGAACGCGGTGTGCTACGACGTTGCCGACGCGAAGCTGGTTTACAAGGAGATGGTGAGCGAGCTGGTCTCGAGGGGTTTCACTCTTCGGGGCCTCGTTGAGTTCGACGAGGACTTGGACATGGTCGGCTTCGTGCTCTGCGGTTCGGACAAGAGCTGGAAGCACCCGCGGTCTCGCTTCTGGCGGCTCTACTGCGGAGTGGGCCAGCTGCTGGCCCGTGGGGGCTGCGCGGGAGATGTGATGCGCGTGGTGTTTGGGCACGTGGTCAACTTCTTCCTGCTCTCCCGGTGCTGCCTTAGCATCTTGCAGGAGTGCTGCCAGTTCGTTCAGGAGAACATCGGGCGCTGCCGGCGGTTCAGTGACGCGGTCGTCTCCGAGCTTCGCGCGTGCCAGGGGGTGTTGCCGCTGGTGGTCGCGAGGCTCAGCGACCCGTTCTACGAGAAGGCCTTCATCAGCGACTCGTCCACCCACGGCCACGCGCTTCACCAGGGCTACTTCAGCGGGGCCGAGCTGCGGGCCGTTGGCCGCTGGAAGGAGCGCTGGCGCTTCGCCGACGAGGAGGAGGCTCTGGGTCTCGGCCTTGAAGCAAACGGGCCAGGCCTTGACGCCAACTTCAATTGCCTGGGCGAGTCGTTCGACCTGGGCGAGGTGCCGGGGGGTTCCCCACGCAGGCCGACGGCCGAGGGGCCCGTCGGGGCCCGGCCGCGGTCGGCGAAGCCCGAGATGGTCACTGGCATCGTGCCAGCTCTTCCCGACGAGCTGCTGGACGGAGCACGCTGTTCTAGAGTGCTGGTGGGAGCCTGGGGCCGGCGGGAGGCGATCCACATGAAGGAGTACCGCATCTCGCTGGCAGGGCTCAGGCGCGCCGTCGCGGACCCCAGGGCGCACGGATGCCAGGTCCTCTCGGTTGGCGACAATCTCTCCGAGATCATGGCGACCGAGAAGGGGAGGGCCGTCGACCATGGGTTGAACGCACGCTGCCGTCGGGCGGCCGCCCTCCAGCTCGGCGCTGAGGTCCGCTGGGTGAGGAGGTACGTCGAGTCGGAGCGTAACCCGACGGACGCCGACTCCCGCCTGGCGGACAAGGGCATCCTGAAGGCGGGCGAGGCGCTGCGCCCTGGCCGCCTGGCCGGGCGGCTGCGGGCGGCGGCCGCTAGCCGAGCGGCTGCCCCTGTGCAGGCGGCCGAGGGCCGGGGCCCGAGCTACGCGCGGGGCGCCAGCCTGGCGAGGCGGCCGTTCGGCGTCCTCGAGCTGTTTGCCGGCTGCGGGCGCCTCTCAGGAGCCTGTGCGCAGGCCGGCCTGCGCATCTTGTGTCCGATCGATGTTGCGAACGGAAAGCACTTTGACTTGCTTGACTCAATGTGTTCAGTGTAGCGTCATCCGTTGGATTCGAGAAGGAAGGGTGTGGCACGTTCATCTGGCTCCGCCATGTACCCGCTGGTCCCAAGCAAGATCTACTGGCTCCGAGGGCTCCAACGAGGTCGCCAGGGGCCTGGCGTTGGCGCGCTCTTCAGTTGTCGTGTTCTACGGGTTTGTCGTCAGTGCGGGGGCACGGTCTCGGTGGAGAACCCGGCCACTTCTGGGATATGGGCCTACGAGCCACTGAAGAAGGAGCTACAGAAGAGCTCGTGCAGTCCTGTCCGATACGACGCGTGCAGGTACGGGGCCCCGTTCAAGAAGCCTACGATATTCTATACTAACGTGGTCTCTCTCGGGGCCCTGGATAGGAGATGTAGCTGCAGAGTCCCCCACGAGATCCTCGAGGGCAAGGTCAGGGTCGAGGGCCCAGACGGTCGTCCCACCTGGCGCTGGAAAACCTCGTTGGCCGCAGCCTATCCGCCTGGAGTTTGCCGCGCGCATGCCGATGGGCTCAAACAGGCTGCTCCGCCCAGGGCGTTTCTTCGAGCGGGGGGGCCAGCGCGCTGTCAACCTTGGGCCGATGAGCTGGCGGGCGAGGTCGGGGCCACCCCGCAGCCGAACGCCGCGCCGACGTGTCCGCGGCGGTTGCTACTGGATGGGAGCGCGCGACAGGACATGCCATGTGCGGGTCCAGTGGCGAGAGGAGGCGGCAAGCCATCGCTGCTCTCGCCCTCGCAGACGCCCGCCAAGCTGCTGACCGCCGCGGGCCCTCCAACGCCTGGCTCAACAGACCGAGGTTCGGGCGCGCCGAAGGCGGACGCCTTGCGCTCCGACCGAGCCCGAGCGCGGGCCGTCAGGGCAGGAGGTTCTCGGCAGGAGGGGTACTTGAAGAGCCGCTCGATCTCCGCCAAGGCTCTGCGGGTGTACACAGAGGCGGTGAAGCTGTTCTACCTGTTTTGCAAGAGCGCCATGATGCCCACCACCGCGTACCAGGAGCTGGGCGTGGCCATGGAGCAGTACCTGCACAAGCTGTATTTCGACGGGGAGACGATCTCTCGCCCGGACAACACGGTGCACGGGCTCATGTACGAGCAGAACCTCACGTGGTCGAAGACGTCGGAATCCCCGCTCACTCGGAAGGCCCTGCAAGGCTACCGCAAGAGTTCGTGCAGCGTGTCGCGGGATGGCGCCCCGTGGGAGTGCGCCATTTTCCTGGCCGGCTTCGTGGCCCGACACGCCTCGATCGAGTCGATCCAAGCGGCGGGCCTCGCCCTGCTCATGTTCGATACCTACCTGAGGATCTCGGAGGCTGTCTCCTTGGGTCGAGATCAGGTCGTTCCTCCTCAAGCTCGCTCGGGCCCTCGAAGCTACTACTCGCTGATCGTTGCGCCGAGGGAGCTCGGGAAGCCGACGAAGGCAGGAGCCTGCGACGACACCGTCCTCGTTGGAGAGACGGCACCGGAGCGGAGGCTCGTCCTGCGCGCAATCCTTGTGCAGATCCTGCGGGCCACCAAGCCCGGGGAATATCTCTTCCCAGACCTCGCCGCCCAGAAATACGAGCTGATCTTCAGGCGGGTCTGTCAGGCCTTGAACTTCGGCGATCTCAAGCTATGCCCACGCAGCCTCCGACACGGGGGGGCCTCAGTCGACGCCCTGAACGGAACCGGCACTCTCACGATCCAGAAGCGAGGTCGGTGGAACGTCATCGCTTCTTGCCGACGATGCGAGAAGAAGGGCCGTATCTTGAAGCAGCTGGCCATCCTCGGCCAGGCGCGCGTGCAGGTATCCGTCGACGAGCTGGCCTGGCTGGTGTCGAGGCTGCCTCAGCTGCCCTTCTCTGCCCTCAAAGACGAAAGGAAAGTTTCTTGATATTGTGGATGAGAGTTACCCACCCACCCTCCCGTAGGCCCCAGGGGATCCTGGTGGTTGCGGGGAGCTGTTGGCTCACGAGCGTTGCGACAGAATTCTGCGTGTTGTCTACCCTTTGGTATAATTCACGATTTGATTTACCTGTGAATGCTCTCGTGCTTGAACGTGCCTGAAGGCTCGACCCGTCTGATGAAAATATGTTGCCAGTCTGACGGGTCACCTTGAGTTTTGTCTAGGTTTTCCGGGCACCCCGCTATCCCTACCCCGGCTGCCTAGTGTATCGAGGACAAATGTCGTCGCAGTTCTTCATTCTCCTCCCTCTTCATGTCTGTGCACACAGGCGTTGTGTTTCACATTCGCTGGGGGTTCAAAATGTCAAAGCGTTCCTCGGGCCAGAAAAATCAATAATCGCAATCATATCATAATATTGGACATGACATATTCGGCCCCCCAGCAATTTCCAGGAATTTGGCTCCGTCGGGACCGTGGAGGTGTACGCAAACTTTGTGGTATACGCAGGCAGTGTGGTGCACGCGGAGGGGTGCTGAAACAGCAGCTGTTGTGTCAATAATCACATGCGTTGCGGTGCAGACGGCTGCTGTGGCGTACATCGGCGTTGCTGTGTGTAGAAAGGTGTTCTGTTGGGGCCAGAAAACAAATATTCACAATCAATTCATATATTGAATTTGAGACGTTCGGGCCCCGACCGTTTTCCGAAGGTAGGCCCGTCGGTACTGCCTTCAGGCGTACACGAACTTTGCGGTGTGCGCAGGCGCTGTGGTGCACAGGGGGTGCTGCAACAGCGGCTGTGGTGCTCGCAGGCGCCGTGGTGTGCACAGATCGCGTGATGTACAAAGGCGTCATGGTGCACGCGATTGTTATGGTGTGCGCAGTCGCGGTGGTGCACACACACGCGCGGTTTCTGCAGCAGTACTGGTGCACAAACGCATTGTACAGAGCCCGTGTTGTGTGCACAGGCGTTGTGGGCTTGGGCGGCGACGACGACGACGACGACGACGACGCAGACGACGACGACGACGACGACGACGACGACGACGCAGACGACGACGACGACGACGACGACGACGACGACGACGACGACGACGACGACGACGACGACGTAGGCGGCGCGCCTCACGGGGTGCGCGCCACGGCCCCAGTTACCGTTGCCCCCCCCCGCGCCCCAGCCCCCAACCGGGTAACATGCGTTGTCTCCCAGAGATGAAACAAATGGTCTCCAGAGGCCTTTCAGGGCAGCCCCAAGAAACTCAAATCATACATTCCCCGCGCGTTCTTCGAAGGAGATCTTCGTTCTCGCATTATCGGGCTTGTGGAAGCCCGCGGCGGCCCAAGAGGCCTCCGAGAGGCCTCCAAGGTGATCCCAAGATGACCCAAGAGGCGCCAGGGCGGCTCCGAGTGCCCACCAGCAAGGTTTCCGGAGCCGCTATTCGGCCCAGGAGTGCTCCAAGATGGCCCATAAGGGTTCAAAGTAGCCCAAGAGGGGCCCAGGAGGCCTCCCAACTGGCCCAAGACGGCCCGACACTTGGTCTAAGGCAACCCCAAAACAGCCCCCCAGGGCTCCATTCCAGGAGTCGTCTCGCGGCACGTTTCATGTTGTCTGTGGGTGTGGTTATCTGGCGTCAGCGCCATGGCCGTCCATACAGGCACGAGGCGTCGGCGAGTTGCCGATGGCGTCTTGGTAATGTTCCTTCCGTCCTCTTGCCCTCCAGAAGAAAGGAACAGTTTCGTGCTGAATAGTATTCGGAGTCGTAATCCAAGCATTGGCATTTCACGCGTGCCATATTTGTGGAACACTTGAGCGCGGGCGAAGCGCGCGCCAAGGTTAGAGTATTTGTCCTCCTCCTCCTCCTCCTCTTTCTCTTTTTTGAATATATAGAAATACTCACATTCACACATGCATGTTGTCACTTGGTGGACGAGTTTGCGAAATGGTACTCGAGGAAACAGGTGGCGAGGTGCCTGCGACCACGTTGAGCGTTGTGCGTAAGAGGCATGCCTTATACCATATATTTGTTCAGCCACCCTCTGCGATACGCTTGTATCCTGTTTTTTTCTAGGCGCTGTTTTGGTGCCAATTTGATGCGCATATGCGTTAGCAGATGATCATGTTCTGTCAATCCGAGCGTTTTTTTTTTCAGCTTCGCAGAGTCTTTCAGGAACAATGCAATACCCCATCTGGGGAGCTAGGGCAACACTCCGTGCGGCAGACAGACATACTGCGGCAGGCAGTGCAATACCCCAGCCAGGGGGCAGAGCAGTGCTCTTTGCGAATTCAAAGCAATACCGAACTGGAGGGCAGAGCAATACTCCATGCGGGAGGTCGAGAACATATTGTGGGAGGCGATGCAATACCCCAACCGCGGGGCACAGCAATACTCCCAGTGGGAGGCAAAGAAATATGCTTCGCGGGGGGCAGTGCAATGCCCCAGCCCGGGGGCAGATTCATACTCCTTGCGGGAGGCAATACAACATTCCCTGCGGGAGGCTTCGCTTCGTTCTCAAATCCACTCTATCTTGTCACGGTGTTGGGGTGCACAAGACCCCACGGCAATCATAATGTCTTGTCTATATATATATATATCAGAGTGAGGGGACCCGAACGGTCATTCACTGTCCCTGGGTGCGTGGCTGAAGTGAGGATCCGTGGCGCGGATTCTGCTTCGTCTTGTTGTTGTTGTTGTCGTCGTCCCACCCAAGAGCGACTCCGCGACCCACCCGCGACCCACCCCGCGACCCACCCGCGACCCACCCCGCGACCCACCCGCGACCCACCCCGCGACCCACCCGCGACCCACCCCGCGACCCACCCCGCGACCCACCCCGCGACCCACCCCGCGACCCACCCCGCGACCCACCCGCGACCCACCCGCGACCCACCCGCGACCCACCCGCGACCCACCCGCGACCTACCCCGCGACCCACCCGCGACCCACCCGCGACCCAAACCACGTTCAAGGTACAAACCACAATTTTCGGCGCCTGCGGCGGGTTTTTTTGCATTCCTTCCAGGTTGAGAGCCCGCGACCCACCCCGTGACCAACTCGCGACCAACCCGCGACCCAAACCACGTTCAGGGTACAAACCACATTTTTCGGCGCCTGCGGCGGGCATCTTTTGCATTCGTTTCAGGTGGAGAGCCCGCGGCCCACCCGCGACCACGTTCAGGGTACAAACCACATTTTTCGGCGCCTGCGGCGGGCATCTTTTGCATTCGTTCCCGGTGGAGAACCCGCGGCCCACCCGCGACCCAAACCACGTTCAGTGTACAAACCAATTTTTTTGGCGCCTGCGGCGGGCTGCTTTTGCATTCCTTCCAGGTGGAGGTGGAGAGCCCGCGACCCACCCGCGACCTAAACCACGTTCACTGAACAAACCAATGCCGCACAAGCGCGGCGGCGGATTTTTGCATGCCGCCTGAGCCCGCAAGGACCTCTTCAAGCCCCGCGCATCCACACCAGCCCGTCCAGCAACTCTGCCCTGGCGAGTTGCCTTAATCAAAGAAGGCGGGGATCATAAAGTGGAAAAAAGGATTGCGTTGCAGTTATCTTGGGAAAGGAGGGGGAGGCAGGAGGAGTAAACAGGGGACGAGGAGAACGCGGAAGAAGAGAGGATGTAAGGATAATGTGGAGAAAGAAAAGGAGGAGGAGCAGGAGGACGAGGAGGAGGGGGAGGAGGAAGACGAGGAGGGGGAGGAGGGGGATGAGATGATGATGATGATGATGATGATGATGATGATGATGATGATGATGATGATGATGATGATGATGATGATGATGATGATGATGATGATGATGATGGACGTCAATGGGAGGACGATGATGGAGGCCGATGAAGGGGAGGACGACAATGGGAGGACGATGATGAAAGGACGAAGGGGGGAGAGGGAGGACGAGGAAGAAGAGGAGGAGGAGGAGGAGGACGAGGTGGAGGAGGAGGATGACGATGACGATGAGGACGAGGACGAGGAAGAGGAGGAGGAGGAGGAGGAGGAGGAGGAGGACAGTGCCATCGACAGGGAAGGTGGGGGCCACGAGGTCCGCCGGCTCGACGACGCCCGCGTCGCCCGCGCCCGCCCCCTCACTCTTATCCGCAATTGCGCGGGGTGCTACGTGTATATATATATATATATGTATGTGTATATATATAGGTGTGTGTGTGTGTGCAGATGTCTTTGCAAGTATCGTGGAAAACACGTTTTGCCCGCCCCGATGGAGTTGTGCGTGTGTGCGAACATATAAGTTGTCTGAGGCGTCCAGGGAGTCCTTTTATCATATGGTGGGTCCACCCTCCATGTAGTCGGCCATCTGGTGAGCTACTTTAGAAAAGCGAGCGATGCCACCCTGATGGTTCTTTGCCCCCCTTTGGTTCGTTCCGCCGCACGTGTTCCGTTTGTTTTTGTACACGTTTCGTGGCTCCTGCTTGTTCCTGATGTCGTTCGAAGGTTGGCATGCAAGAGAGAACAGGATGGGGCGACAGATCGAGAGGAGGGGGGAGAGGAAAAGCAAGAGGAGAGGGAAACCGAGGAGAAGGACGAGCAGGAGGACGACGACGGCGACAGTGCCGACGAGTGGTTGTACCCTTGCTGCTCCAGGGAGCGAGTCCACATAGTGGAGCCAGCCCTGCATCGTGCCACGTGGCGAAAGCAGAGAGCTCTGGTTCTGCGGGGGGGTTGCGCGGGTTCTCTCTTCTCATGGAGCAGAGTTGGCGCGCAGGACAGCGGCGCCGCAGCCAAGGAACACAAGGCCGAGGATAACCCCGCCGCCCTGGTCGTGGCGAAGGCTTCCCGTCCCCATCGTCGTCATCAGCGTCGCCTTCCTCTTCATAATTCGGTAAGTAGCGGCGCGCTTGGATGTCAGCGGCTCTCCTTGCATGCGCTCCGCATCCTCTGCGTGCTCCTTCTCCAGATCGCCTCATCCTGCTGCTCTCGACGTTTGCTCCTCCTTTTTCTGCGGGGGCATCATTGCACCAGCGGTTGCGAGTCTGTACGTGGCAAAACCCATGATACGCGCAATTCGGAGTTATTGGGTTCTATGTGCAAGAAGCGGTCAACCACTCAATTCTTGACGTTTCGCGTATCCCCACCAATCCGTAGCCTGGCTCAAGCCATCTCACGGGCCTGGTTCCCTCGGGCCAGCCTCCCGTGCTCAAGGGGGCGCCCGGACGTTGCACGGCGGGCCAGCGGCCCTGGGCTCCCTCGGGCCCCCCAGCGCGCGCCCGCCATACCAGCAGCGGCGCAGTCAGGCAGCGCGGGCCTCAGCTGTCGCCCTCAGCCCCCCCAGGACGGGGCCATGGAAAACGGGGAAATCCTCCGATCTGGTCGCAGTGAGGGGGGCGGGGACCTCACAGTGCAGGGCACGGGAGCCCAGACACTGGCGTCGGTCGACCCCCCCTCAGACCCATTGGCGTCGGTTGACTCCTCCATCGGGGCAGACCAGGAGCCAGCACCAGTGGCGACCACGACGCCCCCAACGGCGATGCACAGCGATCCTGAACCAGCCCACATGCATCGCCCCTCGGGACGCGGTGACAATCCAGAAGGGGACGAGACGAGGCGACGAACCCCCAGGGACGCCTTCGAACCCCGTCGAACGCTTGCGAGCCACCTCAGTGAGAGCAGCGGACTGGACGGGAACGACAAGGGCACGGAAGCGGATGTTCAGGTTCGGGAGCATCCAGTCTCATTTCCCCCCATCCCTATTCCAGACCCCATTTCGATCCTTGTCCCGCTCACGCCCCCCTCCTCCCCCCGCCTCGGGGCCGCGCAGGACTCCGCGCCACCAGCAGTAGGGGCCCTCCAACTCCCTGAGGCTGACGATGGCGGCCCAGGGGGGCCCCGAAAGGCAACGGTGGAGGTGGGCCCCAGGGAGTGCCAGGAGGAGGCGCAACAGCCCGCAGCTGCGGAGGACGTTGTCCATGTCCACCCCCCCAGAGAGCACGCGCCTGTATCTCCTCAGACAGTGGCGAGCCACGCCCCCGAGGTGCAATCTGGCGACGGAGACGGAGGTAACCGCCAACGAAGAGTGACTCCAGCGGCGGTTAGCTGCACCCCCAGTGCGAATGGATGAGTGAACTCAGCGGCGGTTAGCTGCACCCCCCCATCACCATGAGAGAGAGAGAGAGAGAGAGAGAGAGAGAGAGAGTATATATCCTGCGGCGGTTAGCTGCACCCCCCTTCGCAACGCAACTCAAGATCACCGCGTGCTAAGGCCGCGGGCGCTCCGAGGGGCCTCGAGGCCTACGAGAGCGCCCACCTCAGGAACACACTGGATCAGGGCCGCATCAGCTTAGGGGAATCGCTGTCCGCTCTTCCCCCTCCCCCACCCCGCTCCCCCTCTGACCCCCTTCCGACCCCCCCTCCCCTGGCGCGTGCAGACGAGGCGCGTGTGCCCGGCGAGGGCCACGCCATCTCCCCCACGCTCCCCCTTCACCCGATCGAGACTGAAGGCCTACGGCAGCCCCAGGAGGAAGTCGATTGGGAGTGGCTCCTCGAGGCTCGCGGGCCCAGTGGGAACACCCCCGATAGCGACGCGTTCAGCGACTGGGGGGGGCCCGACGCGATCGAGGACAGATCGGAACCTGCCGCCCGAGATCGCCCGATCGCCCCTCCCCCAGGTCCCCCCATCGCCACCGCCGCCAGGCTCAAGCCAGCGCAGTCGGGGGGGTCAGTCGGGGGGCCCGGAGCGCTGCCGGCACCGCCCGTGGAACTCAGACGGGGAACACTCGCCAGCGAGGCTGGGGTCTCCTAACTACCGCCACGGCACAGGTGTCAGTAGGCCCCAACACCACCCACGACGATGCGGGAGCCGCGACGCGGACGCGCCCTTCCTGGCGGTCGCCGACCCGAGGGGCACCAAGAGAGGGGGCGCTCTAGCGGCGCTCGTGGCACGCCACGAACCGCAAGGGGCCCATGGAGAGACCTTCCCAGGCGAACGGTGCGCAGCCAAACGATGAGTCAGGGCCTCGAGAACCTGGCGAGCTTCTGCTGGCTCCGCCACCCCCCCTGGCACCCCGGAGTCCGTGCAGAACTTCACCTGGCTGGGGGCGCTCGCAATCCTCTCAGGGCCGCGCCTAATCGGAGGGCCCAGCTGGAGCAAGAAACCTCCCACCGGCGCTGCGCCAGTGGCCCGGCGCTGGTTCAGATCGACCTTTCCTCGCTCGCATGGTCCATTACAGGCTCCGACTACGAGGCGAGGCTGGGAGGTGTGGGCCCAGGCCCAGTACAGGTGATGGCTTTCCGTTACTCATGCCTGACCCGGGGCCCTGCTATTGAGGCGGAGAGACAGGGCTGCGACGACCCAGCCGATGCAGAGCTTTACGCGGCCCACTTGGAACACGATGCCCTACACTTCGCTTCCCTGTGCACGGACATTGGGGTAAGAGACCCGTCGGACGGCCTCGGTCCAAAATATGCCGCTACCTCATCCACGAGCATCGCCGGGGCCGAGTGCACTTCCCAGACCACAGGCAGGTCAGGGACTGGGCGGTGAACAGAGGGCAGTGGGTCGAGGCGGGCGACGACGTCATGTCCACAGGACAGCACGGTACAGGACCCGACGGCTGGGTGGCTCCGGCCATGCCAGGCGCAGGGCCACGACCCCCAGGCATCCCAGGGGTCATGCTCGAGGGCAACGACACACCAGAGGGGCCCTGGCCCCTCAACGCCACGTCCCACGTGGTAAGGTTCGGAGACTTCTTTCGCCCATCCACCAGATGTGAGTACTGTGGCTGCTGGCTCGCACGGGGCCCGCGAGGCCCCATGTGCATCGTCTGCCACAGGCTCGCCACACCATGGTGTCCAGCTGTGGACGGATTCTATTCCGACAGCGCGGAAGCACCAGGGCACCCCCTCGACGCTCCGGGCACGCCACTCACCTACCAGCTGGCCAGGGTTGGAGCACGATGCGCTCCCATTACCAGCCGCATTTGCTCCCCAGACCACCTGCCAGAGACTACCAGATACTCTCCAACCTGGCTTATCTCTGAGCTACTTGCGGCATGGCGACACGCGACGGACAACCCGAGCGAATCTTGGTACCCGACTGCGGACAGGGAGGGCCCAAGCCTGGGGGATGAACCGATGCTCATAGCCGCGATGAGTACCCTCGCCAGACTTTGTAGCGCCCCACAGGGATGGGCCCTAGAGGCAGTGTCACGAATTCGCGACCGCATCAGGGAAGGCCCCTCCAGCCGGTCACTGCGTGAGTGGGCGCCCAGATGCCTCGCCCAACCCCCCCGCATAGCGGTGCCGACCCGGTTCCCCGACCCCGCAGGCGCAGGGGCCAACGCGGAAGGTCTGCGGATGAGGTTCCAACTGAGCCTCGACAACATTCCCACAGAAGATGCAGACTGGCTCCGAAGCGAAATAGGGGGGAACTTCCTGGACCAAGCCCTCGGCGCCATACCAGCCGACGGGCACCCCCCTGGGGCGCGGGGTGTGGACGTCGAGGCAACGGAGGTAGCCTGCGCGGCCCCCATTGACTGTCTCTGAGACTCATCGCGGACCACCTCGCACCCGACAGCCCCTGTGGAGCCGCGATGCGCCTCGCAATCACGCTCCGCACCAGGCTCCGCGGGGTGGGCGCCCCCGTGCCCAGCGGAGCCAACCAGCAAGCAGTGAGGAGCGAGGACCCCGACAATCGTACCGTCGAGGAGCGGCGACCGAACAGTGGCGCTCAACTGTCCCTGGAGAGGTGGAGCAGCGCCCGCTGCCTGCTGCAGGAAATCACGGATATCCGCGCGCAGGTAGCGAGCGACAGTATACCGAGCAACATGACCTGGAGCAGGATACTGGCCCCCTTCATCTGGGAAGCAGTCACAGAAGGGGGAAGAAACACCCTGCGACGCGTCTTCGAGGCCGCCGGGATATCCACCCACATAGTGACGCACGCAGCCCGACGATGGGCCGTAGTGGGCATCTCCACCCTGCAGGAAGCACACCACCGCCTCGCAGGGGAAGCGGCAACCATCTCACACCTAACGGGAAAAGAAGTTGAGGCCCCCCTCCCAGGAGGTTACGTCCACCCAGAACTCCAGGAGCGCACCATGAGCTGGCTCGACCCCTTCGGGTACGTCCAGGAAGGAATACTGACGGGGGACCGGGCCGCGGTGGAAAGAGGAGTTCAGGCCCCATTGCGAGGACGAGCGCTCGAAACAGCAACGGAGGCACCGAGGGGGCGGGGGGCCGCCGCGCTCCCCCTGCAGCTGAAGGGGGGGGGCACAGGGCACCACAACCCCCTGGCACGAGAATATCAGACAAATGCTCCGCGAAGATCCAGACAATGGAGGCAGGTCTCCCGCCCAGGCGGACCGCAGAGGCGACGCGCTAGACGACCTCGTCCGAGCCCTGGGCGCCGCGCAGAGAGACGACAAAGCCGCTGGAAGAAGTAGGCAGCGCTGCGTCGACCGCAGCTCCTTCAGCGGCGCAGACGCACAGCTCGCAGCGGAAGGCCTCCTGAGGGAGGCCAGAGCGCACCTCGAGCCGGGAAGCAAGCTGGATATCCAGGGCCATCTGGCTATGTCTAGCACCTCGCTACATCCCCCTCCTTTGACCGGTGCTCCAGGTACGAGGCATGGGCACTAGACCATGCGAGGTGATCACAGATGGCTGCAACTCGCAGGCATACATGCGCCCAGCGACATCAGAAGCGCATTGGGCGAAGGGGGGGACCGGCTACCTGCTGGCGGTTGTCAGCCTCGCGCACGCACACCAGTGGCCTCTCCTGAATGGTGCCCCGACACCCCTCAGTGACACCAGTGCACAGCGGCTTTTGGCTGCGCC